AAACATAAAATCTATTTAGTAAAAATTAATCCTAATAATATATGTTAAAAAAAATAAAATAATGACAAACATTTATATATATATATATATGTTAAGTATTTAGCTAATTGCTGCATTTGCAGTCTCAACTTCCAAGTCTATGTCCTTTATGTTCCTAAATACTCTTCTTGTGGTTCTTGAGCCCCTAAGGCATATAAGAGCTGATCTCAAAAGGGAGTAAGAAACCTTTGCTCGTATCCAGGATACAGTGGTGGCATAATCTTCTCCTTTCTTGTTGGCAATTAGTTCGGCGAGCCTACTGTGGTATCTTCTACACTCATCTGCCATACCTCCAGTTGTAGTGAATACTAATGGCGTAAAAGTCGTTTGTTCAACTTCCAAGACTCTGCTGGCATACTTGCGCTTCTTCTCATTCTCATGCAGGTGGTATATTTGCTGGGGGGTGAGGTCTTTGTAGGACTCTGCATTTGGGTGACACACCCTAACATCAAAGAATGCAGATCTCTGCCTTTCCCAAAAGCCACGTGCATGAACGTCAAGGCGAGCATAATAATGATAATAATAATAATAATAATGATAATAATAATAATAATAGCACTCGTGTATCTACAGCATGTTAACTAAATTTGTATAAAACCAATCCTAAAAATATTCCTAAGTTATCTGATAAACCCGTCCTAAGTTATTACCCCTATAAACCGTTACTTAACAAACCCCTTTTCCGAGAAATTACCCCTAAGTTAAGATTGTCAATATCTAGCTCACTTTACCCCYGCCCACCCCTCCCTACCATAAATAACATACCAACCCTAAGCTTCTTTGTATATTTTCTATATTTTTTATCTATATTTCTATTTACTATCAGGGAGAGCTGGAATTTTTAGGCGACAAACTGCTAGAAGGTGGTCAACTGGGAGAAATGAAGAATGGGATCAACTACCGCGAGGTACGCCAATTTAACAACGAATCWACCGTCATTAGATTTTACTTCGTTACACGATGTTATTCTGATTATATGAAATCAATTCTGCACGGTATAAAATGYATGCGCCCTCATGCTATCATCATGAACTCTTGCCTCTGGGATCTTCACCGGTACGGTCTCTATGGCCCTCTACAGTACGTTGACAACATGCATAAGCTAATGGCTGGGTTGAAGAAAGTCATTCCTAGTGATGCRGTTTTTATCTGGAATGCTACTCTTCCTTTAGATTCCAAATGTAAAGGTGGTTTTCTGTTGCCATATTATGAGAATATTCCTGCACAGGAAATYATTGAAGCCAACTTTATTGYCGCAGACATTGTCCAGTCTTATGGTTTCGTGTTCTTGGACTTGTATTMTGTTTTGGTACATCGTATAGAACTGAGAGAGAATGATGGAATTCATTGGAATGCCTTGGCAAATAGGATTATTACGAGCCATATATTGATTCTTCTTTCTTATGCGTGGAATCGCCCCATTCCAAAACCGATGATCCAAGATCCACCAGTTCACCATCCTTGTTCTATGTTTTCCAACAAAAGTTTGGTCCATTCCACTGGTACTTTTTTTCCAATGAGGTCAGATTCCAGATACCTTAGCTCAATTCCTACGATCCACGATCCTTTACGTCCACTATCCAAATTTTCAAACAAACATYTGACTTACTACCCCTTCTCAGACTGGAGATCCATCGCGCATAACAATGATGATTGTACCAACAGACTTATCCTAAAGAATATAGAAAACTCGTCAACACACTTTGTTAGGGAAAATTTAGCAAGAGAAACCTTTCCATTTTCTGTTAATCACACCTCTTCTCCCGCAGAGACATTAACTYTAATGAGACCTGCCAATCAAAATCCAATTATGAACAATTTTTTTACCCACCCTCCTTCCCCACTTTTGTCACATGACAGACATCTTTTTAGGTTACAAAGTCCCTCTATCCCAGACGTATCGCGAAGGCAGGTCGATTCGYTTCACCGAGAACCACTGCTGTATCATAGAAGTGCACTTAGCTTATTATTTCCACGCTACAACGAAGAACCACAAAGTTTTAAGACCTTGTCTTTCCCAACCCAATAAGGTAGAGATGAGGCATGTATGCTATACTTTCAGTGCTGTCAGCAACACACTTGCAACACATCATCAATACTTTTGAACGCGCTAGATATCTTTTATCGATAACTAATTTCTCATAAATCAGTTCGATTCTTTTTTTTCGTATAGTCTTCTTATTGTCTTTGAAAGGGCCTACTGGGAAAAGATTATAAAGTATGTATGTAWATAGATGGTTTTYACRGCCGCCATGTTGGAGGAATTTAACAAAAGATTGGTCATTAGTCTCTTGTTATATCCTCCAACATGGCCGCAGKGTCTTTTGTAATTACATTCTCTTGGGAAAGATTGAAGACCATCAATAGACAGGGTGAATTCTRGTCTAGCTTGGGTATGATTTAGCTTGGAATCACTCTAACTAATTACTGATATAATAATATAATAATATAATATAATACTGACCATCATGTGTTGTCAGCAATGCATTACACATTTTCATTGAAAACTGGCATGCGATTTCCGCACTCGAAACCGGAAATGACKTAAAGTGAAACCAGAACTCATCAGTACCAAGTTTTTTTTTCTTCTCAAGTGATTTGTATCCTAGTTTTTTTTAGACGAACAAAAATGTACGTTTTTCWCACAGCGCCTTTTTTTCTTCCTATTTTTAACATTGTAGCTCATATGTATTGTGATCAAGACGGGAAAAAATGAAAATAACAGATTCTTAAAGATTTTTTAATGACGTCTTTGGCTGGTCCTAAAAATGGAATCACGAGTATCCAATCAAAAACCAACCAAAAAGAGCTAGTTTACGGTCAGCCAGCTGGTAGGGAATGCGTAGTATGTTGTATTGAACAAAAATTAAGATGTTGTTAAGAATATTTTTTAACAAAAATAAAATGATTAAGTTTGTGAAATGGAATCTCAATCGCATTTTATTTGTCAATTTGTCATCTTCTTTTAAGATTATTAAAATACTCTAAGATTATTAAAATACTCTACTCACCAGAAAAGCGCCGACAGATATACTATTTACGACGTTTGCTCAGAATTTGATTAGGATTTATCTGACCATTTCCGCATTAWGAAAAGTAGTGTCTATAATAGAGAGGATGATCTCTGTCTTTGAGCCAGCCGATAATGAGTCCTCTGAGTGCTTATTTTTTTTTACAAAGTAGATACGTG